GAATGTAACAGAGTACATTTACTCTACTGCTGCATTTAAGTACATTCACTTTAATATTTTCTCTTCATGTCACTTTTTACTCGAGTTGGGGATTAGTGAACTAATCTTATATGGGGGATTAATAAAGGTATGTGCTTCAGTTCTTGTAATCGGGGCTGATGTAGCACGATAGTCGCTGCTAACAAAAAAAAAAAAAAGGGTGGAGACAAACCTCTTCAACAACACTCAATATTAGAATAAAATGAACAAAAAAAAAACCCTCCATCAGTGCCGTTGTCCTTCCTGTAACTCCTCCGCTGGCGGGCACAAAAAGTCGGGACGTCAGCAGGAAAACAAAATCCACATGGTGTGAGATAATACAAAGTTGAGACGGGTAAGAAGCCGTTGACCATTGGAAAAAATCCCAATATTTGTAGTTTGGGCATCTTTCTGTCCAACGTTAACACTTAAAAATCACAATTTCCTGTCATAATTTTCAAAATAAAAAGTCTGACAAACAAAATGTGGGAATGACCTGTTTGCTTTGTATCCTGATTAACTCCTCCTGCTGAATGTAAGAGGTGTGGAACGACATCGATCCACGAACCAGACGGCAACAACGAGACAGTAGTATGTGGAGGACCACCGGGGGGGGTGGGCTGGGACTGTGGTTAAACCTGCTACATCTGTTAAGATTGCATTATTGGCCGCCGCATCGGTGCAGAAGGACGCCGAGCGGCGGAACACAGTGAGTGATGTGTTCAAATGCAGTTTTAAAAAAAAAAACAAAGGAAAACGTTGGGAGGGTTTGGGCCGGTTAACCTTAACATGCGCGTAGGTTGTTTCCGCGGGGTCCTATGTTCGGGGCTCTGTGACACACTGACTGATCTGTCCGATTTCGGCAAGCCGAGCGCCGCTCCACGCTGTGGTACACGGTGAGTTACATTAAACATATTGCACAGGGCTGGAATGATTCAAAATCAACCTAATTCTACCACACAATTAACAACCATTTATACTCTCAATGTCCTCCAACACTAACGCAGATGGAAAAATCCAATCTAGTACCGAGTTCTTTTCCTCTTTCTTATTTCCTCCCTCGAGCACTTCAGCAGCATTTTTTTTTTTTTTTTTTTTTTTTTATTCAGCACCGAAAAACGCCTCGAGCATCAGCCTTTGGGTCGCTTAAAAAACGTCAAGCGCTCCTGCGATTTGCAAACTCTGCAGATTCGTCTGGGAGAAAAAAAAAAGAAACAACACAAGGAGGGTTTTTCACGGTGGGTCGGGATGTTCGTTCTCCTCGTGGTCGGATGAGGTCGTTTTCTCCCTCCGCCCTCCCCGCAGATGAACAGAAAGTTACAAAAAGGAAATAGTAAAAAAAAACCAAACGTCTTCTGTTTCTTTTCAGATGCCACAGGCCAATGAATCCTTTTCTCACACTGCTGTCGCCTCCTCCGGAAGGAAAGAGACAGTTCATCGGTCTCCTCCCTTCCCTGGACACCTTGAGGAGTGCCCATGCAGCTGGACCTGAGGACAACAACAACAAACATCCATCAAACACACCACCACAGCCAGTCTAATTGCAGCCCAGAATGTAAAGAGTACATTTACTCTACTGCTGCATTCTAAGTACATTCACCCTTTAATCATTTTGCCTTCTTCATGGTCACTTTTTACTCGAGTTGGGGATTAAGTGAACCTAATCTTTACTGATAA